AGCAAATGAAATTTGTCCCTACTCTTGGTTCTACAAGTTATACTGAAAAAAAAATAACCCTTAAAAAAATTAATTGCACCCACACTCTTTTCTAGACACTAATAAACAAGTCACTTGAAATTCCACACTCAGAGATGAGTCTTTGAATCTCTTCCGCACAACTTCTGTCTCATACCTTGTGTCTTATAAAATCAAAAATTCAGAGAGCGAGAGTAACTCATGGGCGTTGCAAGTGGTCAAGCACCTTACAAAGCCGGGGACCTCAGCAGACTCCATCTGCCCATTACATGGCGACTGTCCATTTGAACCTTCCAGATGGCAATTCTTTATCTTTTCCTTTTCTGCGCGACTAAAATGTAAATTACTTAGATCTGGCTCATATCTCATGGACTGCTATGTAACTTTGTAATTGAAGTTCACCAAGTTAGAACTCAAATTATTCTTGAGGTCATGTTATGTCATTTTACAACTCTGATGCCAGGCCTAGAGGGGACCTCTGGAAATGGCAAAGGGAAGCCTCACGTTTTCTGTAAAAGTTAATATCACGATCTGCTTAGATGCCCTCTACAAAGCGCATGGGCCCTGGCCTCCGTTTTTCCCCTCGTAGGCGAGGTTAAAAGGGGCTCGTGATTAAATTAGAAGTTGTATCTGTTCATTTCTTCATTAGCAAAAAAATATATGCGTGAATATTATGTGTCCATCCTCTAGTAAAAAATCTATAGCTAGAAGCCACAAAGGAAGAAAGGCTGAGGGTGTTGTGGCTGAACCTACTGTCTCTAGAAAGTTTCCTTTTGCTTTAAATATATTGTAGTTAAATCTCAGAATATGTGATATTTATTAATTTCAATATTTGCTTTTTTTTCATTAAAAATCCCATGGGGTTGATTAGACATGAATAACTAATATATATATATACATATATATGTATATATATGTATATATATATATTGTGTGCAACGGATAATTATTTGAGGGAAGAAAACCAAAAATACAAGAAAAGCTGCAATTTTAGCAGAGTCCATAATTTCTAAGCTTGTCCCTGGTTCTTTGCCTGTATTTACAATTTAAATGAAAGTAAATAATAACTTACTATATTAATGCTGTTGAAAATCTCTCAAGAACCAGAACAATTTAGAAACATTTAACTAGCCTTACATTATTAAGTATACGTTTCTCAATGAAAAGCATTTTTTAAAGTGTACATGTTCCCCAGGTATTGAGTGTTACAGACGGGGTCAAGCTTTCCTTCAGCATTTCTTATCTCTATGTCCTTAAGCAAGTGACTGATCCTCCAAGATGTCACCCAGTTTCCTTGTAAACAAACAGTTACGGATTCATGCTTTGCGAGGACAACATCAGGTATACAGTAAGTGCTCAGTAAAAGCTAAATCTTATTTTTATTGTCATTTATGCCTATTTTTGATGCACGGTCCTGAGGTTTTATAAGTGCAGACTGAACGTAAAGGGAAGTTAGACCTTATAGTGATCTTTTAGGAAGAATGAATGGAGCATTATGGGCTTCTCCACAAGCCAATGGTGGTAAATTATAATGGCTTACGTTGGAGGAATGAAGAACCGGTATTTGAACATCTTGAGGCTATATTCATGAGATATTGTGAGAAGCGGCAAGGCAACAGTCAGGGTTCTAGAACTAGTCGTGTTCTAGCATGGAGTTATATTCTAACTATGGTCTGACTCTGGTATGTATGGCTGTCCCACTTGCCCTCAAATAAAACAAGAGAGGCGTGCTAATTAATGGCTATTAGGTGATTCTGTATGCTAATAAACTTAACTGGAGTCAGTCTGGGTGTAGTAGGAAGGGTTCAATGGCTGTCTTCAGGAACTTGGTGTAGTCCTTGACTCAGAATCCCAAGCCTTTTAAAAGAGAATCACACAAGTTCTACGTTGGTTAAAAATATAGTGATCACCTTGGAATGGTCTTGGTTCATGTCAGTTGTCTCACCATAATTATTAATAGCATAGACTTTTGCTTTAAAGCAGCCCTCTTCAGATGACAAATTGTAAGACCACCCTAGTTAAAGAGAAATATGAAGGCCTCACGTCAGTATCAAGTTCAGAATCATGACTGGGTAACTTGAAAGGTACAAAAAGAAAAAGAACTATCGAAGACATCTTTAAATGACCAGGATTTAGTTGGGAGGTTATCTGAGGTTGGATGAAAGAAAATTTTGATCCCAAATCAGAGTGTTCTAAATTCAGAGTGAGAGTCAGCGCATACTTTCTTTGGAGAGACCCACAGGCCCTGCGGGACTAGCCCCCGATAGCTGGACGGAATCATCAATTAGTCTTCGCAATTGCTAAGAAGGAGCAGAAAGACATCCGATTTAAGGAAAGATGAGTACAGGAAACTATACTTTGGAAAAACGCTCCACCATTTAAAAAGAGGAAAAGAAAAAAAGATAAATGAGGTCTTTAGAATTCCCTGGGACTTGTTCCTAATTTGGAGGACTTGCCTATGAAAGGTATGTTTACTACTCCATCTTGGGAGGAGAGGAGTGTGTGTGTGTGTGTGTGTGTGTGTGTGTGTGTGTGTGTGTGTGTGTGAGTGTGTGTGTGTGTGAGTGTGCGCCCGCGCCCGCGCATGCCTGCAGAATTGAAGGTGATTAGAGAGGATAGGTTTACCAGGAAGATTCAAATTTTGCTCAGAGTGATAAAAACTCCCAAATAACAGTGCCTCGGACAGAACTGAACTTCATTTCTCTGGCACATAACCGATATCTGGAGGTCAGTGAGTGAGGGCTTGTTTAGCCTTCTGCTCTTGGAAGCCTCAGAGAGAGAGGCGGAGTGTCCTTGTCCTCAAGGTTCAATATTGCCAGAGCTACATTCCAGACAGCAGCATTGGAGAAAAGAGAGGACAGACAGAGACAAAGAGGGGAGAGGGACTAGTGACAGACAATGCACATTCTTCTCAGTCTGGTTTTCAGTTTTTCTGATTTTCTAGTTCATTCCACACAGACTCTGTGGGAGTCACGTGATTCTCCCGGACTGTCCTCACGGGCCAAATTTAGAATGGTTCTAGGCTGGCTCTCTCTCCCACTTGTGACACATTTTGCCCAGGAGAGCTTCTGTGAAGTGCAGTCCGCTCCACTTCAACCAATCCATCCATTTGCACTGTCCCTCTCTATGGNCAGGGGGCGTGCGGGCGACGCCACTCCGCTACCTGTGCGCCGGCCACCTCGGCCCCGGGCTCTAGGTCCTCGGGCCCCCGCAGGAACCACCACTGGATCTCCAGGTACACCGAGGCGGAGCCACTCTGGAACGCACACGACATTTCCACATTTTGCCCCTCGGTCGCGGTCACGTTCCGCGGAAACTCAGTAAATTTGGCTGTAAAACAGAAATGCACCCTTTTAGAACATCCAGGCCACTCTTGCCAGCTCTCTCGCCTTGAGAGCTCACTACGTTTTTCTTGGACTTAAAAAAAAAATCAAGAACAAAAACTCCTCTGTGACACCCGGCACTTTGCCTGGCTCCCCAACCCCCTTTCCTTTGCCTCTTTACTGTCTTGCTTTTGGTATCACGCCTAAATCGCTTTGTTGTCCATCAAGTCCGGATAATGGAAAGGTTAACAAGCTTGCCAATAATTTCCCCTACTAGCCAGGCTGCTCAGTTAGAAGCAAATACATTCTGTCAGATTGCAGTAGTCCCCAAATGCTGCTGAGGGATTCAATGAGGTGCATTTTAGACAAATCTGTCAAGTTGATGTATGAGGGCGAGCCTCTTGCCTCCAAGTTTCTAAACAATCTATGATAACGAGGTGTTTCACAATATAGACAATGGATCATGATTACCTGTCAAAGTGCACATTCCTGATACAGCAAAACAACTATTAGCAATTGTGATTCAAAGGCTCCCGCAGTGAAACAAGTTGCTCACTTTCTATGCTGCGACTGTGTCTCTCCCAATTCCCCTCCATAGGTGTTCCAGTCAAGCCACTGCGTTGTAAATTGCTATACATCATGGCCCGTAAGAATCGCATACCTGCACTTAGTTCAGATTAAAGATTGTTTTGAAGCCACGAGAGATAATTTTTTTCAGCCTTTTCATTACCAGCCTCAACCCTGCTAGTTTGCAAGATTCATGGAGTCATGGCAAAACTCACAAAAATAAGATGTTCCCTTTCTCCCAGAGGCATTCCTTTAACATGGAATTCTTTGGATGGCTGTTTTTATTTTGTCTGAGGGACACTTTGGGAAGCGATGATGATTCCCTAAAAGTAGTCTTAGATCTGTGGCTGGTGGGGGTGTGTTCGTGCGGGGTACGGTGCACACTCAAGGAAAGGAGGACCGAGGGGGCTGCAGGACAGGCTCAGGGTGGGTGCACCTCGCCCCGCTTTTAAAGGAGAGACCCTATCAGCGCCCCCTTTCTCGATTTTATGAAATCCCAAATGATCACCATTGAAACGGCACTGTATTTATACATAGAGGAAATGGGAGATGTGAGGCAGACATTCTGATCTGCCAACAAGACTTGTTTGTTCTGGCTGGAAGGAGACGGGCATTGCTGCCTCAGGAGCGATGCAGTCTTCTGGCCGCAGAGAAGCGGTGCACAGCACTGTTCATGGTGCTGAAATGGGCCCTGCCGCCTGCGAAGTCCTCGACCACCGGATGCCGCGAGCTGGTGCTGCTGCTGCTTGGAATGCAAGCCATGCCTTTGTGTGGGCCCTCCCAGGAGCCTGTCCTTTGATAAACACCCAGGCAAACGAAGTCACAAGGACCCAGAAAAAGGAAACTCTAAACCCACTCTGCCTCCGTCAAGCCGGAGGACTGGCAATGGAGAGCCCCTGTTTGTTTGTGATGATTATGTATGCATGAGTGGTTACCCTGTGCACGCACACAGAAGACACACACACACACTCGCGCGTGCGCGCGCGCGCGCGCACACACACACACACACACACACACACACACACACACCCCTGTGTCTGTGCTCGCCGAGGAGCCTACCCCACTGTCAGGCACCAACTAGATTTGATT